GGGTGAGTAGCGTAAATGTCATTATGATTTAACGCAGGCCAAGTACCTCCACCCAAAGGCCCTCCTTTAACAACATTTGCATTTCTAAAAACTTGGCATTGCTGCGCCAATCTCTTCACAAGAGCAGAGTCATCCTGAATATAAATTTTGCTTGACTTGATGTGCTTATTTTTGCTGTGAATCCCCTTTTGAAGATGCCCTGAATGTGCCACATTGAGGATGCAAACATTAATTGATTTTCAAAGGCTGATCAGAGAATCATAGCAGCTAATTAATCATTTGAAAAAGCAAATTCTTTGGTGGTTAGACCATGATTTGCAAAGAAGAAGTGGTTTGGAGACTGAACTTAATGCTGTTTCATTTCCAGACAGATATGGATTTCATAATGGATAAACACAGACTCACTGTCTGCTTCATTTCCTTCTAATAGGATAAATGTGTTGACTCTCCCCTTTTCTGTAATTCGACTTAAAACAAGTCGCCCACACTGGGGTGGGGTCTATTTTATACTAGGAAACTACAGTATGTCTGAGAGAGCTTATAAAAATTCCCGTGAAGAATTTTATACTGACATGAATGGAAAAGATAATGAAAATGTATTTTTCCTTTATTAAAACAAGATGAACCTGCTTGTTATCCTCCTTAGTGTTTGAAAAATGTATTATTCACTATAATAAATCTGGGTGCTGCAATTAGCACAGGCCTCATACAGTATATCTACAGCTATCACTGTTATCAATTTAAAACCTCATATCTTCAACTGTAGTGTATTTTAACTCAAGAACTGAGTTGGCCCAGAGATTAGCATGTAATTCTTCAGCTATAGTTATTTAATCAATTAAAACAATATGTTAATTCAAAATATACGTTCTGAAAGATGGGTTGTAATTATAGTCCCTTCTTCAATTGAATTTGATCACATTTTACATACATTCATCAATTACTTCTTTATGAGAGTTGTTCCAGTTCCAATTGTTTCTACTCTAATTTATTCAGGCAAGGTGTGTTTATTATCACAGTTTTATGACAGTATACACATCTTATACAGTCCAGAAAATGCCTTCTAGAGACCTAGCTTGAGGTTTGTTTATTGAACTTTGGAAGCCTAGAACATCCAAAGAATGTCTCCATTCTGTTCATAGTTAAAAATGCAAAGATTGCACAAACACTTCACTGAGGCACACACATAAAAAGACAATTACACAATGTGGAACCGACACAGTGCAGTATAAACTACTAAGATCATAGCCAGAGCCACCCTTTTTGACAATGATATACACTGACCGTTAACGAAAAGCACTGGAGCAGCAGCCATGGGACAGCTGGTAAAAGAAGTAGCACTGATGTCAAAGTGCAAAGTAAAACTAGGTTCATATATTGCCTGTGGTAATAGCAGATATATTGATAGTGTGTGGAAGTGCATGGAGCCATCACCCAAGAATGGAGGAGGTTCCCCGGTTTCCCAGTTTTCACACAGCAATTGCAGTTGTTTCTATTACTCCTAGTAAACTTCTTTATAACACTTACAGGGAATGCATTAGTTTTGAATTTTTGGTCCATTTTCATTCTGTTCCTCTGCATTATACAGAAAAGAAATCCACAAACAGCAAAATGAAATGATAGTTAAACTCATAGCTGCAGTTTGTTTTTGTCCACTGCCCCCTGAGCCCAATTACTGTTGTTTACAGGCTCCAGATTTTGTCACATATAGGGTACAGTAAAGGGCATGAGTAACACACTGCCCTGCAGAATCACTGGGATGCTTACCTGGGAGGTAAGCAATTGCAAAATAACATGTGACAGATAACAAAACAAGTTTCAACACGCCTACACAAATAGAGAATCATAGGGAAGGTGTATTTTTATTCAGATAAACCTTACACATGTTCAGTTTATTTTTCACAAGCACATTTATTTATTCCCTGTTTTTTCTTCTTAAATTCAACACACTGCTTCACATAAGCGGGATAAGGTTATAACATTTTTGGAGATCCTCATCTGTCCCAATACCAAATATTGCAAAACACTTTTAGATTATCTCTTTCCTGTCACCGGAGACGCTGATACACTACAATTTTGTTAATTATCAAACAACAATGGCCCATTGTTGTTCCCTGCTTCTTACAGACCTTGTATAGCATCTTCATCAAAGCTGCCATTAACTGTGGAGTTGCACTGCATGCCCTCCTCATCCCTGTCTTTCCCTCGTCCTGATTTCTGGGTCATGCTATTGAACATCAATGGCAGAACGTCATCAGATGGTCCCACAGAGCTGCTCTATCACTGAACGTGATACTCATTTTCCTTTGGGTGAGTCATTCCATAAAACCAAGATTCCAGATAGGAAGCTTTATTTGTACAATGTAAAAGTCCTTTTTTAATTCAAACTAATACCTGCTGGTTCAGATTTGGCTCACTGGGCTCTACGACAAATTAGTACACGCCATCGCACACCATTTCACATGCTGTCATGGCTGAAAGGCACAGCTGGGAGACTTCTGAAATTACTGCAAAATAGAATTTGACCCCTGATAAGGCCCACTATCGAGTCTGCCAAGTGTGACATTTTGATGAAACGCTGGATGTCTCGGGACTGGAGAGCACTCAAGTATTTTACCCAAGCAGTTTGGAGTGCATATACTTAACTTGTATGCTGGTGAACATGATATCTATACTCATATTCATGAGAAATTTACTATTTTAAACATTGTCAAATACTGTACTTAAGTACAATTCTGAAGTACTTTACTTCAGTATTTCCATGTGCTTCTACTTCACTATGGGGGAGAGAGGGAGGGAAATACTCTATTTTTTACTTTTATTTTAGCTTACAAATTCAAAGCTCTGCACATCCACATAGGTGTTTTCAATTGCTCTAATTTGCTAATTAGACCTCTAGTCTGCCCTGGACTGTAGGTGTGCATGGGCTTTAATATTTCAAAACATTATTTCTTTACATTGACCAAAACCCTAAACAACACACACACACACACACACACACACACACACACACACACACACACACACACACACACACAAAGCTTTATTTTAACAAATTAGTGGTTATAAATCAGTGATATATAAACACTGACATGGTCCATCCTCAGTCCTTCTACTACTGATAAGTACATTTTCTCATAATACTTAGGTACTTGTATTTACGTTTAATTTCAATTTAGGACTTGTGACTGAGTATTTTTATACTGTAGATTGCCACTTAATCGTATTATTACACTACCATTTATTACTTTTTACTGCTGGGTATTCCTGCCTGTGCTTTGCTGAAGTAATTTCTCATGTCATGTCCTGTAAAAGAGCTGTAAATGACTCTATTTCTAATTAAGGGAATGTATTTTCCAAGTGGGATACTTCCTGTACAGCCTAGTAACAGTGGCCATTGCAAGAATTTAGATGCATGTATATCATCATAACACATAATGAAGTAACTCAGCATTGGATTTGTTTCGCAAACAAATTTACAGCTTTTACTCCAGCAATTAACATACCATAGGAGTGACAAAATTTTGACTTTTCATAGTAGGAAAAGCACAGGTGTAACTAATAATGTTAAAAATGCTCAGTTCTGTTTCAGTGTCTCAGTCAGCCATGACAGTCTGACAGTGAGTCAGCATGCAATACCAGGACAGCTTCACAGAAGTCAGCCATCATTTTTTAAAATTATTTACCCCTGTGCTATAAGGATTAACACAGGTGCTTTCACTTAAGGCTGATCTGTTGAAGATGGGTGGAGGTATACAAGAAAAAATGTGATGCACGCACTGATACAAATAATAAAGCTGTTCCACCCCAATGGGTGAGCAATAGAGATGTCAATCAAACTGCCTGCACACTCCCACGCAGTCCCGAGAGAAGGACTAATCAAGACAAATAAGTGAAAACACCAGTGTGGGTGTGCTATGGGTAGGGCAGTAAAGGGGCATTACAACCAATAGACTCTAATGGATTCTACATCATGTGTCACTGACAGGGTGATAATCCATCGTAAGCACAAATAGCTTTGTTAAGCGGCGACTGGAAAGCTTTAGAAGGGGTTGCGAAGATATAAATAGTATTTAAAAGTCCTATGTGGTGAAAAACTGTGGATTAGAAGGTTCCTGCATTAATTCCTGAGTTAATTGCCCTGCCAGTAGCCTATCTGAGAGGCAGCCAAGATAAGAGCTGTTCAAATTGTCTAAATGTTTAAGAAAAACCAGATGCTGAAACCAAAGCTGATAAATGTAAGTCAGCCATCATCAGTTTTATCATTTACACCTGGGCTTTTCCTACAGTGTCTCGTCAAAATGGATTCTGTGAAAAAGGCCAACCTCGCTTATCACTGCAGTGGTCTTTTGCCAACTTCATATAAATCCTTCTTCCCATCTTTGCTTGACCACATCACATTTCTCTTTGTGTTCCTGGAAAAAGTGCTTAGGAAAGCTAAACAAAAAAAAAAAACAAGGACATTGATTTTATACGATTTGGATCCAGCCAGAGAGAGAGCCCTGTTGATTTTCATTCCAGCCATCTAATCAGGGGCTGATTTACAACCAGGATGCAAAGTGAATGTAATTACCAGCATTTAACTACCAGGTAGGATGGAAAAGCAGCAGTGCTCTGGGTACTGCAGGACCAAAGAAAGAAAAATAACCAGCATTATGGCCCTTATGTTGAGAATTTGACCTGTGGAAAGCACTTTTTCATAAAAATGGACATGGAAATGAGTTTTACTGTTAGTGGACTGTAACTGTTCACTCTCTCATTGTCCATCTAGGGAATGAAACACAACTGTCACCAAATCGGGACCTGCGGGAACCTCTGGAACTCCCTCAGTGGCCCCTTGCTGATCCCAGGACCCTCTTATGAGAACGACTTCATTGTCCTCAATGGTGCTCTGGTGCCAGATACAGCTCTGCGGGTGCCTGCAATTGCGCACAGTGACGGGTGGGAGGCGCTGTAGGGCTTGTGTGAACAAAACAAAGTGAAAGGGGAGGAGCAGCATCGGGAGAAAAGTGGCCACACGGTGTGCCAGCCCGTCCAAGCAGTCGCTTACATCTAAGATCCGCCGTGGCGCAGGGAGCACAGCAAAACGCGTCTGCCAAGTCCTGTCCACTCCACTTGGTGACGTGCAGAGCGGTGCACAGACAGGCAACTGACCGACCTCCACACAGCCGCTACCGGTGCACAGTGTTGTTCCTTTTGCAGTAAAATGCAACAGCAGTCTTTGCGGGATAAAGACAGCATTCATACATAAGCAGCGTCGTAGCGAAACAAGGACAAACGCCGGGGGACAGGAGCAGCGAGCGGCCGGGGAGGTAAGCGCTCCAGTCAGCGTAGGAAGAAACAGTCGCCACGCTGACTCTATGTAGGGCTTCATTTTGACGTGCTTTGTGTGAGGCAGGAGTTTTTTAGAAGGCACACGGGCACTTGTCCTATCATGAATGAATGAGAGGAGGATCATCAGTTTCACAGCCACCCCTTTGCTGAGGACCATATCCTACCAAATGGTGTGTGCGGCGCTCACGTTGTGCGCAAGCGCTCCTGCAAGAAAGAAAAAACTAACTTCACGTCTCAGAGCTTGTGACAGAAAACTGAAAGGTTTAGGAAAATAGTGAAGAAGTGTTCGTTGTAAAGGTCAGCAGCCTAGGACGAACGGATGGAGACTGCCACAGCTGTATTTTCTAAAAAGCCTGAAACAACGCCTCTTAATTCGACTTATTACAGTTAAATATAGTATGAAAAATATTAGAATTTACCTCATAAAGCCTTTAATAATGAGTAAACTATTCTGCAAAATTAAGCAGTTATTAAACTAATATAAATTTTTACACATCTTTGAATTAATGTTTGCATGCGTTCACAAAATAAACAATTCCATTAATAGGCACAGTCTGTGCACAGATTGCATACAAATAATCTTTTTTTTATTCTAGTTGTGCACACTCTGCAGGGTGTCTGAGTGTATTTATAAAATCCTATTATTATATTCTACAGATGTATATAACTTGTAGCCTACACTACGTAAGACTCATCCTCCAGACAACAAAGCATTACTCATCACAAGTCCCATGTGTTGTTACAGTGGAGTGCTGTACCTTTTGGATGTGAAGTAGAGCACCGCTTGTAAGGGACACCACTGAGCCTTTTTTCGACTCAGAAAGTTTCTGATGGATACTGAGTCCATCCATTTAGAAATGCTGCCACTCGTCCACGAAGAGCCGTGTTTCAGTTATTTACTGGCAGGTGGGAAGGTGTTTATGAAAGAATGAGGTTGGTACTAATCATAGTATTATCACATTGAATCTGTTGTCCAAGTTCAGCATGATTTATAATCAACTCTCATATCAACCAACAGCACACTTGTCAATCCTCACTTGTCTTGGCACTGATGCCTGTTTACGAGCGTGTTGATATATATAAATAGATGTACAGCTACCCGGCTTGCCTGTATGTGCTCCTATTCTTAAATTGATGCACCCCGGTGTTATTATTGTATTAATGGGGCAAACATGTGGGGCAGGAGCAGGACACCCTTACCCACTGGTGACATTTGAAAACCTAGCAGGCTATCGTGAATCAAGGCGGGGATTAAGGGCTTTAGTCCTAGTCCTCCCTGGACAGGCAGGGAGCCCTGCACTCGATGAGGTAAGACAATGCATTTGCCTCAGAGCTGGGGCCATTTAGCAGGGGCTCTTCTCGCCTCAGCTGCTGCGTATGACAGAGAATTGTCTATTTACAATATCCAGTCAACGTAGGTGGATGATTACCCAGCAGCAATATACAGAGGTGTGTGTATGTGTGTGTTCAGCTACAGCACACAGGCTCATTGTCAGGCAAGCTTTACCTCTGTGGAAGTATTGTGGTTTCTCCAGTTTGTCAAAAGCTTCTTTGCCATAAACTCAATCAGGGATAATCCTTCTATATCAAACGTGATTTAGGTTGGCCCGAGGAATTCATTTAGAAATTACCCAGAGGCATTCATCCTATTAGTAAAGGCCAAGCAAAAAAAAAACCCAACTCCTGTTGTTATGGTCAGCAGATTACAAGACTGTAGCTCAGGGCCATTTATTTTATTCTTGTATTTGACCAAGAAGGAGGGCTCTTTTGCAGAGTAAGGGGTTCATAATTTGACTGATGTGTGGGCTGTAAATATAGGCAAAGAAGGTAGGAACAAATACTGTACAGTACATTCCTCTACTTGGATGAAGTTATGATCCACTGCTGTTGCCTCTGGTGATGGACTGCAGTTTAAAGGAGTCCAGAGAACAGAAGCTGTGCCAGGCTCTCCCAACAAACATGACCGCAGAAAGCCAGGTCCTCAGTGTTTTTCATGTAACAACAATCAGATAAACATAATGGTGCCTCGGCTGCTGTAAGGCAGCAGCTCGGATGAGATGGAGCCATTCCCACTGTCTCCTTTCAAGAATGTACATATAATACTTCTGTTTATCTTCCAACCCGTCACCAAAGCAAAATAATAATGTGTGAATGTAGCTGGCAATTACGCTGATTCTGGTGGAGCAGTGGGTATTAGAAGGCCAATCTGGACAAACCCGCCCCCAATCAAAAATAAAACGGAGAGCAATTGTGTGTGTTTTTATGCCTTTGCTAGACAATGAACTCCATTTTCTCCAAGAATAAAAAGGGGTGTCCTTTTTTTGTAATCAGATTTCAAAGATGCTCCAGCAGATTTTTACCAAATTTTCAGTAATTAAAATATATTTCATAGGCTACTTTGAGTGTGCACATTTAGTCTATGTATGATTAACTTGTAGTACAAATGCAGAGGTAAATTATAAAATGTGGACAACAAGTCATTGTTGTCCACAGCTCACCTTGCTAGAAGTCTTTTTTTAGAAGCTGGAAAGACTTTATCGCACATACAAAGAACAGCATCCATACTCAATTAAAACAGAGTGAGATCCTACTGTGTGGAAGCTGTTCTTTGTATTTTTGGTTGGAAAATTTTCAGTGGATCGAGGAAAAAATGCAGTAGTAATTTGCATCACTTTAATATCTGTATGTCTGCAGTTGAAAAGGCGTAGTGTTGTGATCAGATTCTGGTAGCCAGGTGGCAATGAGGTGACATTGTGAAAATAATTTTAATACTAAAATGTCCATGGTTGTATCTCATTTTTCCAGAACATTAATCATGCATGGCGCACACATGGCTCGTTTGCATCTTTTACTAAATCGGAGTAACTTCAGGAATAATAAAAATCATTTTTTGTGATTTTCAGATTGCACTTAGCCATAGAAGTATTTTTTTTTTGTAATTTTAAACTGTAAGAGCCTCTTGAACCTGGAGTGCATTATGTGGTTGCAATGCACTTAGCACAAAAATATGAAGCAAAATTTAACCAGAGCTAAAACTATATGCAGTGAAGGGGTCGGAACACTTGCAGCATATTTCATAACTGTTGGTGAAATAATAAGTTACTTAATATTAGCAAGAGCAGCCACATGGTGTTATGGTACGTAAGTGTCATTTTAATCAAACAGTTAAAATGAAAAGAATAGTTTGGAATTTTTTGGAAATGCGTTCGTTTGCTTTCTTGCTGAGAGTTAGCTAAGAACTTAAGATTAATACCTCTCTTATAGCTGCATATATCTACATGACTTATGAGACATACAATATTATTGTGTATGGCGATAAAAAAGAGCTCAGATAAAATTAAGCAGGCTTGAATTTCTGTTATCGGGACAATTGTAAATATCTTCACATAGCTTGACTTGAAAAAGCTGTCCTACTACTTTGGGTAAGGGGACAAGGGGGAGCCTGCATCTTTTCAGTCATTCCAAAATCCTAAACCTGTCACCAAGGCTTGCCCCCACAAAAAAAATTAAACCAGATGTGTGGAAATAGTACGATGAAGATTCCAAAATAAAGAATCACAGGGAGATGAGGTGCCTATCTGTGATGCGATAAATTTGTTTCTTAACAAAATGCAAGGTAAAGTGATTACAGTATGTTTTAGTGCAAAAAGTATATTTTCATGATAATTGTTATAGTATTATATACTGCAATTATTTTGGCCACTATAATAGTGACATAAAATTATCATATCTTCCCATGTCTACGTGGACATGCATCTACTGCCAGTCGGTTAGCTTAGCTTAACTAAGTCTGGCACATAAACCCCTCTAAAGAAAAATTTCATTTTCACACGTTCTGCACAGCAATCAAACGAGATATAACGTGTTACTTAGGGAGCTTTACAAGTCATTTGAGGCAGATGTTTTAACCTTTAGACAGAGTCAGGCTAGCTGTTTCCAGTCTTTGTGGCAGTAGTAGCAGCTTATGTTTATACCGTACAGACACAAGAGTGGTATTATCTTAGCCCTGTTTATACCTGGCATTAACATGTGTCTTGGGTGATCCAATCACACAAGCCGACAGCTTAATGTTCAGGTGTAAATGCACCCAAGACGCTTTGAGGGCGCATTGAGATCTGATCATAAAGATCATGTCGGAGGGGTTCTGGGCCACATATGGCCACATCCTTTTAGCAGTGTGTACGTGAATGTGTCCTTGGCCACTGACGTCCTGCTTCCTGCGTAAGCAGAACCACATACTCATTCACGCGCCAATGACATCATATTTAAGTGTAAGAAGAAGCCACAGCAACAGGCAAAATGGATTCTCGTGGAAGGAGCACACACAAAATGCCATCTGATTTCCATTTGGACTGAAGAGTCAATGAATGAATGAGTGCAATGAAACTGGATGATTGCTATTAAACTGCTTCTTCTTTTAATTTCCAGCAGATTAGGCACGGGAAGTGCATTGCAGCCTCCTGTCAGTTAAAAACAACAATGCATTTGGTCTTTGCAAACGGAAATGATGTACGTGTTTATTTGCATATAGAGCGGGGAAGTGAGATTGGATCACAAGTGGTCACTTGAGACGTATGTGGAGATGCATGTTAATGCCAGGTGTGAACTGACATACTTGGAGCTCTCGATTTGTGATCAAGAAAGAAGCATATTAATGCCAGGTGTAAACAGGGCCTAATGCTCAGCAAGAAAGCACTTGTCCCAAAATGTCAAACTATTCCTTTTAATGCTAAAGAGGTTCTTGTGATGTGTATATTGCTCTTACCACAGAGCCCAAACTATGCTTGCCAGTATAACGTAGTTCTTAGACTCTTGTGTTTGGATCTTTGTACTCTTTAAATCCACTTTAACCTATTCACCTTATATACTTGTTGTTCTATACTTGGCTTTTGGTTCCACTTGAGACTGTCATTTGAATTCTCCCAGTAAGCATCGCATTAATAAATGGAGCCTATCATAGATAAATTGCTACAGCCAC